ACTGTGATGTGTCTGGGTTCATGTGACTGCTTTGTTACTTGAAGATAGCATAGTGATACAAAACTTAGCTTATGCTATCAGTGAGAGAAGTGGTTTAAAGTGCATATGTAATAGTTACATATCATAGAACTATATAACAAGTGTAAGGATCATATATATATGATGTATAGTTAATCAGTCTTGCTTACATTTTAATTCCTTCTCTTTGGACCATGATAAGCCCCCGAATACTGATTTCTGAAGCCAGATAATTTAAAAGTTCAAATGAAGAGATATTTGCATGTAGGAGAAGTAATCTTCACATATAAAACAGGAAGGTTTCCCACAGGTATGTTACATATATACTTTAAACCATTTGACTCTAAAGTGCTCTAAGTGGCTGGAATTTAATGCTCTAAAATGACTTGAATTTAATGTTGGAAATAGAGAAAATTATGATAAAAATTTTAACTGTGTGTTTACAAGTCATCTTATGTTCACATGCTCATGTGTGGATGTGATTAAGCAATTCTTCACTTGATCTTAGCCAAAAGGCCGAAAAGCGATGAGATTAAGCAATTCTTGAAATGTGTGTTTCTACAGTACATTGATTACAAAACATTTCCAAAATGTGTTGGCATAGGTTTTTTTTCTCTCCAGACAAAAGTGTTGGCTTTTTACTAAGACATGCAACTTTCAGTTTTAACTAGTTAAACTTAGTAACATAAAAAATTCTGTTTAACTATTTAACAAAAACGAGCTTGTGTGATTAAACTGTAAGGTCCATAACCTCAATCACAGTTGTCAAATCCTTTTACCATGCAATAGAACATATTGAGATGTGGGTGTCTTGGGAAGCCATTCTGCCTAGTGCAGGAAGAAAAAAAATGTAAAATGTTTTCTAAATAATTTTATCTTGATCACATATTGAAATTAGAATATTTTAAGTATACTGGATTAAGTAAAATATATAATTAAAATTGACTTCACTTGTTTCTTAGTAGTATTTTAAGGAGATTCTAGAATACTTAAAATTACATATGTGGCTGACATCCTTACCTTGGACTATACTCCTATTAGCCAGTGCTTGGCTGGACCCAGAGAGAGGTGAATCTTCTTCACCCCTCCTCAGTGTCTCTAACATCAGTCTGGGGACCTCTCCACTCATGAGAAGTGCTCTCCACACAATTAAGTGTGGCCTTATACTTTTAGGTCTCCCATGACTCAATAGGGCATAATATGATACCGAAACCCCATCTCTCATATAAGAGAGCCTCAATTAGCGAGGACATGGAGCTATGACTACAGGGGCTTCCCTTCTAATAAGAGCAGAGCTGCTAATCCACAACCTCTGTACAATCTGACAATTCTGGTGATTACTGACTTGGCTTGATGGAAGCCTTTTCATTCATATTTGGATTTCCAGTGGTTTGCATGTAGAAGGGTTCTTTCAACAAAAGTTCACTTGGGGGTGTGGGGAGAAAGGAACCCTTCTCCATTGTTGGTGGGAGTCCAGACTGGTGCAACCACTGTGGAAATCAGTATGGAGATACCTCAAAGAACTAGGACTAGAGATCCAATTTGATCCAGATACCCTGCTGGGTATCTTCCCAAAAGAATTAAAAGAATCACAACACAGTGATATATATGCACCCATGTTCATAGTGGCACAGTCTGTAATAGCTAAAGCTTGGAAATAGCCCAAATGCCCATCAACTGGAAACTGGATAAAGAGGATGTGGGTTTTTTTTATGAAATGGAGTACTACTCAGCCATAAAGAATGAAAAACTAGAGACATTGATAGCTAAATGCATGCATATTGAGGCCATATAAATAGGACACACATGTGTAAATACCAAATAGTTTCTCTGGTGTGAGAAACTGAAAGTGTAGATAAGGATTAAAATGATTAAAATGAATAATTGATAATTTGAAATAGGAAGAAAAGGTTCAAAGGGGTAGGAGTGGTGGGAGGGGAAGGGAAAAGGTAAGAAGGGAAAGGAAAAATTATGAGAAAAGGAAAAAATGGAAATAAAGTGTTTTTAAATTGGGAAGGGTGGAGGGGGTGGAGGAAGGACAGGGAATGGGGAAAAAATAAAAACCAAGATGCATCATGTACAGGTACAAGCACCCAATGATAAATGTAAACGTATTGTATGCCTAAAATGTACCAATAAAAGAATTTAAGCAAAAAAAACCCAACAACAAATGTTTGCTGACCCAACTAAATTAGATGTCCGTGACCGGCTGGTCAAAAGAAAGACGGGAAAGAAGTGAGTTGTCCTCCATTTCCCACTAACAACAAATATTTCCAATCTGTGGAACTGCTAACTGAACAATACTTAATGGTTGCATCTTTATGAGACAAGAAAGGGTAATGCAGTTCAGAAAAAAAAATAATTCTTTACCCAATGAACACTGTAATTAACCAAATGTGTTCATTACTGTGCACTTTATTTGGCTTTGGTGGCTAAACCAAACCACTGAATCTGTGACTGCGTTCAAAATTGTATGATAAAAATATTTTTGGATGTGCCAGTTCGGTGTTTAGTTGTATTTGTTTAATTTAGCATGTTTCTACGCCATTGTTTGAGCCCATTCACCTACCTCCATGCTTCACCTGCAGAAAAGCCAGATCACTGTGGCCCTGAGATGCTCCTGTGCCCTCACCCTGTCCTCCAGCATAAGGGAGGTGAAGAGGCTCACTTCCCTGTCTGCGCTTCAGTTTCTGGCCTCGGCCTGCTCCCAGTCCCAGAAGGAATCTGCACAAAGAAGTAAAAATTACAATCTTCACTCCACAGCTCCACAGCTGAGGTCCTCTGAGGAGACACTGGGATGCTGAGAAAGCATAGCTTGCAGAATGTCCATCTCCTACCAGGCCAACGTGATTTGAGATGGAATTGTGAGGCACCAGATACATCTTACCACCCTCCCTCCTTCTCAGAAATCTCACTGGCTCATGAGAAGTAATGAATACTGATAAAAATATAACACTTTTACATAAAGTTTGTTAATTGAAAGAATTATAGACTGAGTAAAGCATTCTTCAAAATCTATCGTCATGTCTTTGTGAACTTTCCTGCTTATCAGCAATTTTTTTTTCCTCAAGAAAAACAGAACAGCAACATTTATTCAGGGGGAAAAAAAGGCAAATTGTGTTTCTTCCTTTCTTATTACTTTATTGTTTGAGGTTTCTTTTCGACTACAATGTGATATTGTCATTTCGGAAATGGGGAAAAAAACCCCTTGTCTTTCAGACATAACAATGTGATTGTGTGCTATTGTTGCCAACAAAGAGCTAAAGAGGTTAATGGATCACAGAGCTGGAGAACAGCCATCCTTCCCCCGCTCGATTTATTACACAGTATACATTTCCTTGTTGCTGCTGAGCTTATGATTTTGTGTAAGTAGTTCGTAAATAACTTTACTTAGATTTAAGTCATCTCTTCCTAGAACTCAACAGTTTTGTCCTTCAGGCTAGCCTGCTGGTACACACACACACACACACAGAGATGTGAGCTCCTGGCTTTGGGGTGGTGGACGGGGGAGCTGGCCTGGGAGGGGTGAGGCTGGCTTTTGGGTGAGGACTAGGACGTGGAGGGCAGGGCAAGCCCTGCATTGCATGGGAGCTTTCACTGTCAGATTGGCTAAACTAACAGTGAAATGGCCATCATAAAAAGTGCAGGTCCTGAAGAAAACACAGCGACTCTTTCTAGGGCTGTTGCTGGGGATCATTCCTAGACCTCTAATGAAATGCACCGGTCCTCTGCGTTGAGCTCAGGGTGACACAACTTTGCACGCTATGACTGTCATTTCTAAACACACAAGCATTAACACTGAGATGTCTTGCCTAGAGAACTTTTCTGCGTAGTGCATAAATTCTTTACAGAAAGGGGAGAGGAAGCAAAGATAAAACAGATTCATTGCTTTATCAGTAGGAAACATGGTTTCCCGGGTAATTTTGGTTGGGTAGGGATCAATGTCTAGGGGACAAGTTAGGAGAGGAGGGACACAGCTGTCTCCGTGGATCAGAGGCAATCATTGCAGTCAAGCCAGCACTTCAGAAGGGGAGTAGACTGGGCTCCTTGGCCTGGTGTTTCATTGGGGTCCAAGGCTACGAGGCAGGCTAACCTGGGACAGTGAGTGTGTCTCCGGGCTTGGGGCCTGGGCTCCTCCCGGCAGCCAGGTAGGCAGTGATCGCCCCGTGACTCCACAAGGTGGCCCACAGAGCGCCGCGGACCCTCACTGCCCGGCGTGCGGCGAGTACTAGGCAGCTGCCTGGCCCATGGGTGCCCAAGCTCAGGGTCTGGGCCCCTCCGCCAGGGACCTGTTTCAGCGCCCAGAAGCCCGGATCCCTCAGACCGCTACGGCCCAGTGCGCGGCCACGCCGATCACCCCTGCAGGCTCCCCACGCTCGGCCTCTATCGGCTCGGAGACCCCGCGCGGCCACCTGGCCGCCCCGCCGCGCTCCCTGGCAGCGGTCCCAGGGCCTGGGTGACCGGCGCGGCACCGACCGCAGGACCCGCGCCTCCGGGTAAAACCGGCTCCTCCCCGGCCTCCGCCCTGGCCCGCCCTCCCCAGAGCCGCGCTGTGCGTGCGCCCGGCGGAGACACCTGCGCCCCGTCCCCACCCTGCTCCGCCTGCCTCTCCGCGGCTTCCCCGCTGCCTCGGGCTCAGGGGCGGGGGCTGGAGGAGGAGCCGGGGGCGGGCGCGGAGGGGCGGGCACGCGGGCGGAGGAGGGCACGGAGGGTGTGGAGCGGCCGCCGCTGCAGCTGGCTGGGCGTCCCTGCCGCGCCCGAGCCGTGGCGGGGAGAGGTCCGCCTAGACCGGCGCGTCTCGCTCCCCGGGAGGCGGCGGCTGGGCCCGGGGCGGCGCGGCCGTGACAGCGCTAGCGCGGGGCGCGGAGGACGCGGACACGGGAGGAGCCGGCGCCCAGCTGCCCCGGGACGTGGCGGGGCGGCGGGCGGGAGGATGTGCAGCGCCCTCCGCACGGCCGCCGCGGTGCCCCCCTGTGCGCCGACCTGGGCCCGGGCGGCTGCCCGAGCCGAACCCGCGCCGCGGGAGCGCGCCCTGCCTCCCCTGGCCCCGGCCCTGCGGGGGAGTGCGGGCGACGCGCCCTGAACTCCGCTACTTCTGCAGCCCGCGCCCGAGCCAGAGCTGCGGACCCGCCCCAGACCGCGGTGAGCAGGAAGCGGGGCCGGCGGGACTTCGCGGGTCGGGACAGGGCGCGGACCGCCCAGGGGAGGCGCGGGCCGCCAGGAGCGCTTCGTGGGTGCGGTTTTTCTGGGCGCCGCCTGGGGAGGACTTTGGAGACGTTTGCTGGGGCCCGGGTCAGCTAACGGGAGGTGCGAAGCGGTGCGATCCCGGGGTCAGTGTGGATGCGGCCGCCCGCCCGCCCTTCTGTCCCTCTGTCCGCCAGTCCCTCTGTCCGTCCGTTCCTCTGTCCGTCCGTTCCTCCGCCCTTCTGCCTGGTCTCGCCGCAGCGCTGCCCCACCGCGGCCCGGGAGCAGAGGGAGAGCGCGCGATCTTGGCGCGGGAGTTTCGGGGCTCGCGCCCCGATGCGTTGCGGGGCGGTGTGCTTCCCCCGGAGTTCCGGGGCAGTTTGGGGGAGCGAGGGCAGGCAGAGACTCACTCCGTGTGAGGGTGCGGTTCCGCACTCGGGCGCCGGCCCCAGCCCTCGCTTCGCGCCACCCCACCCCGAGATGGGCCGTGTGGGTGAGGAGCAGGCGCGCTCGTCCCTGGGCGATCTGTCTGGCCGCCGAGCCGCTGATTGAGGCGCTGAGACCCTTCCCGGGACTTGCCTGACCCCGGGTTTCGGGAAGGAGGAGGGGTCCCCCGCCAGAGGTACACGCCCTCACCTGGAGGCGCCGGGCCACCTGCAGCCGACTCCCCAGCCTTGCGCCCCGCTCGCCCACCCTCGCCCACCCTCGGGAGCCGCTGCTCGGCTCGCGAGCTCCCCGTCCCCACTGGGCGGTCTCTCTGCTCTCTGACCTCTTTCCCTCTGAATAACAACACTTTCTTCTTGGAAAACGTTGATCCCTGAAGGGCAGATTTAATATTTGCAAAGTGCTTTATATCATATTACTTCGTGGATAGACTTAATTGCATTGTAACTCTCCTCTGATTTATGTAAACTTAGCCTGATAAACAGCTCGCAAGGTCAAGTTGGGTGGAAGCAGAAGTCGGTGGGTGTCCTTTCTATGACAGCACTCAGTTCCAAACGGATTTGCTAGAACCAATAAAAAAAGGGTGCTTCCGAAAGGTGTTTTCTAGTAGTTGCTATATATTGGAAAGCGTTAGACAAGTATTTTCACATTACAATTTAGTTCAAATGTATTCAGCTTGTTTTCGTAGAAAAAGTTGGGAAGATAGTAAAGGCGGCACAAATTTGAATGCCAAATATGACTTTTTAAATGTCTTATTGGTATCAACTATATTGCCACACATTTTTAAAAATTACCTTTCTGTGGCTGCCTAGTGAAGTTCTTAGAAGCAGAAGTGAGAACAATCCTCGCCATTCTCTCTGGATTTGTTTACAAATGGTCACTGCTCAAAGTGACCGCACAGGCAGGCGTCCGCACGGGCTGCTTCACTCCAGAACGCAAAGATTCACGGTGAGCTGTGATAGGACACAGGAGGTGTCACGAGAAATGTAGCGATGGGAAGGAAACTATTGCCTAAATTGAACTACCTACAAGGCAGTGGGTTTTACCAGTGAGAAGGAAAACCACTCTGTAGCTTCTCCCAAGTTACTCTCTGGGTTAAGCATACTGTTTTCTCAGTTACTAAAATGCATGGCGTCATCATTCCTCATGTAAAATAATATTTTCAAATAGATGCCTAAGCAGATTATATACAAGATTTTGAGTGCAGTATTCAGTGGAGAATTGAGGCCAGAACTGGGGTCATGGTTCAAAACCAGACCGAACCTGTGCTTAAATGTTAATATTTGAAGTTGCTCCCTTTGACATCTCTGGGAGGAGGTGCTGTTTGTTCAGTGTTTGATTATGCTTGCATGGGTGTCCTTACCATTTTGCAGGCATACACAGATGTTTTTTAATGAATAACATTCTTACCAAATTTTCACTCATTCAATAAGTTTCTATTGAGCACATGAACACACGCAATTTGCACAGCGGAGCCGAGGGTGTTATTTTAAACGAGAAGGAAGCTTTATTGCTGGAAGCCCTGCGCTTACTCCTACACTGTAAATTGAGCAGCAGAGCAGTGGCTTACTTACGGAAGCAGCGTCTGGCCCAAAGTAAAGGATCAACGAAGAGCTGTTGATTCAAAAAATTTAAAAAATCACATAAGATGTTAACTAGCCAAGTTTGTTTCTGCCCACAATTCCACCACTGTTCTTATCATTCAGATATGACTCATCTCAGATCTAATGAGGACTGATGGAGACTCAGCTTCTTGCTCTCCCCTTTGTCTGAATACTTGAGAGTAATGTAACTTTCTGTGCACCGTGTCTTCCAGCTCTGGCGTTCTGCATATCATTTCTCTGGAGCAGTGCCAGATCTGAATATATCATTAGTATTCATTTATGAGTAAATGCAAATGCTCTTGTTGCACTGAAAAAGAGAACTTGAATTCACAGAACACAACAAATATTTTGCTCCTTCATTTTTCTCATCTCTATTTTTATAGCCTCAGAAACAGCATCTCTTAAAATGCAATTATATGTAAATGATTATTTGGGATTCCTTTTAGAAAGGGAAATGTCTTATGGGTATTTTAGTTGAGATTTTTTTTATTATTCTGTTAACATGTTTGGCAGGATGGTCTTTTATTGTACGAGCTCTCGTTAATGAATAAAATAAATTAAAAGGTAAAGGGAACTATTGGTAGAATGCTTGCTAAAAATCTCGGAGAATAGATTATGAGCATTACCACCAGGGCTGTGTCATTGAAATTATGGCAATATATGTATATTTTTTGGTCTTTATATGCATAATTTAAATCTTTTAAAAATCTTTTTCTCCAGTAGTTTAATATCATGATACTATTACAATTAAGAGAGTAGTAATCTGGTAATGGGATTATAGTTTGTTTTAAGGAAAGGTGAGTAGTTTGACTAAAGGAAAACAAATCAAATTAAGGCAATAATTTTTCAAGTCACAGATTTATATCCATTTAAGTCCTTTCAGTTATTTGCTAAGGGGGAAGGTCAAAATTGGAATAACAAATAACTAAGCTTTTCATTAAATTTTTCTGTGAGCTTAATATGAATTCTTTGAAGGCAGTCAAAGTGTAAATTTTTTTTTCGGGAATCCAATTTAATTGATGACAAATTTTGTTTCCTCTAAAATCAATTTTTGTTTCTGAGTCATGATATTATTTTAACCTGTATGGCAGAAGTGCCTAAAGCAAGGTATTAGTTCTGCATTTTTAAAATCCCTGATATGAGTGAAACACACTTTTAAATAGCTAACACTCATCAAAATTAAAAGTAAAAATTACATTTAGAAATGCATGTGATGTAAGGGAGGATAAAGGAAGCTAAGTTCACATGCACATTTCATCATTGTGACTTCCTATTAATCTAAGTGTGGTGCAATGGATTGTTTTCCGTCTTCTCAGGAAGACTTATGGAACACAGCTATGTCAATTTTAAGAGAAGGTTGAAGCGTCGATTTGACTTTAGATCAAGTTTTATGCGTGTCAGTTCTATATGTATATGTACACACATATGAATATATAGTAGTCATTTTTCTGTTGTACCTATATATTACATAATAACCTTGAACATCAGGAAGAGGGTCCCCTCCGTGGCATATGTGCTTTGTGAAGTGGACATCATCCTGAGAAAGACACTTAACAAATGTTCATCTAGTTTGATATTAAAATGCTGGAATTGCTAAACTTTTTGGAACAACTTGTTTAAGCAGCACATAGTAACTTTTAGTATGTGTCTGGCATTGTTTGAAGAGCTCTAGTAACAGTAAGTCTTTTAAGTCTGGTAGCCAGTCTGTCGTCCTCCATTCTATGGAAGGAGAACAGATAAGCAAAGTTATTATTATCACCCTTTGGGAGATGAGGGAGTTGAGGCTTTGTAAAGACTAAATAAGTGGCTCAAGCTCCATAGCTACTGAGGAGGGCAGAGCTGGTTCTCACTGTACTGTGCCACTGCCCTTGAATAATTTTTTTTTTTAAGTTCATTTAAACAGAGGGCCAAGTGGAGAGCAAGTTAAGTTGTAAAACAAAAGTACACTGTGGCTACTGAAATTTACAACAGTTTTCAATCTAGAGTGAATTGCTGAGAAATTCCTAAGGAAGGTGATTGTAATGAAGCAGCGACACAAGCTGAGCCAGAGCAATACTTGAGCATAGTGCTATATCTTAATGTAGTGTTTAATGGACTAAATAATTTTCTAAGGTTCACCTCCTTTTAAATTAGCTAACTTTAAGAACCGATGCCATACTTAAGTAGTTTTAATAGCACAGAGGATCTGATACTGAATGATCTGTGCCTCCCATAACACCCTTACAATGTGAACTTCTGCACTGCAGTCATAGTCTGTGTTACTGTACGATCTGTGCCAAAGGGCTCTGAGCTCAGGGATGGCGTGAATGAAACTTCCACTGCTCATGCCGGTCCGCACCCTGTGGACCATCCCATTAATGTTCACCCTAGGAATTAAAGCAGGATATTTCACAAGCTGCTTGTGCAGAAGTAAATGAACTTCAAACATATTTATAATTGCATAGTTCTTAACGGTGTGATTTAATACTGAGTGGACATTTTTCTTTTCATGCCAACCTGAAGGCATTACCATCTACGAAACTCTGTAGAATAATAACCTTTATGAGATGAAGACAGAGAGGAGGAAGGTGATGTAAAGAGTGTGAAATAATAAACTGATTAAAATGTTTAAATTTAGAAATAGACAAAAGAAAAAATGTCTGTAATTGTGGCTTTTACTTTAAAAAGGCATAGAAGACATAATTAACAGAATCTTTCAGCTGCTAATGAGGTAAAACAACTGTCCTATCATAAATATTAACCATCCTGCTATCTGAGTACAGTTTGGGGAACTATTTGGGAGCATATTAAAATGTCATTGTAATGCTCTTTGCTATAGTTAACTAACTCAAGTCGAAGAAAAAAATCACAATAATCCCAAATGTGCCTGAACATAAATAAAATATTTATTGTAGTGTAAGTCCTAGAGTC